CATCTCCGCTGACACGTCACCTCCTCAGAGAGGCCTTGCTACCCTCTACCCTCCACTGGCTTTTACCTCCTGGCAGAGCACCACTACCAGAAACTTGCGTGGTCCTTCCCACGTCCCGCATGTGACACCCTGCCAGCAGGTGCTCAGTAAAGACTCCCCGAATGAGGAGGAGTTAGAGACCCGAGTTCGGTTCTCAGTGTGCTCCTCTCTGGGCCTCGGTTTTCCAACTACAAATGAAGTGGACGAACGGCCTCCTGAGGGCTCCTGGGGTCTGTGAGTGGTCGATATGCCACACCTGGGGGCCAGGACAAACTGACCGGGTCTGCGGGGTGGGGGGTGGGGGTGGGGGTGGTACATGGGACCTGCCTGGGTGGCCCGAGGGAGGGGACTGCCTGACTTCAATGACTTCATGCTGTTGACTTCATTCTTCCAGGGAGTATTTATTGAGCACGTATAGCATGCCAGACTCTATGTCATGCACTGGGAGGAGAAGGAGAGGTTCTAATAGGATTAAAGAAGCTTTGAAAATAGGTCTTCTTTGATCTGGACTAGTAAATAATTATAAACACCAGTTGGCTCCTCTTCAAGAAGGGACGCATGAAACAGTAAGACTCCTCCCAGCTCACATAGGCTGGGCACTTACTCCGCGTGCCAGGGCTGTTCTCTGCACTTGCATAAACGACCTCACTGTCTTCACAGGAACCCTGCAGAAGGGCTCTGATTACCCCCAAAAAGGCAAATGAAAAACAGAGTCGTGAAACGATTCACCCAAGGTCACCCAGAGACTGGTGGTTAAAGCCAGGCTGGCTCCGGGGTCTGACTTGCAAATTCCCAAAAAAAGCCCGAATAAAGGTAGGAAGGTGCCTCTCACGGATTCGGAGGCGGTGGTGGTGAGACAAATTTCGGGGCCCTTGCAGAGTCAGACGGGTCCTGAGCTCACAGTGGGGCTACTCAGACCCCCAGAGCCAGTGGGGCTACTCAGACCCCCAGAGCCTCAGGCCCATCACCACTGCCCTGCTTGGCAGGTCCAACTACTCTAACACATCCATCCTGGGACCAGGGAAGTGGGGACCCCCGGAGGCCCAGCTGGGGGGAGAGAGGCCTGCCCCGCAGCAGCCCTGGGGGCCTGGATGGAGGGCCTGGGCCCCCAAGGGGTGGGGCCGCCTGACTTCAAGCCCTCTGACAGTTCCTTTACGGGAGGTCTGTCGAATCAGTTTTCCAGAGATGCCAGGCAGACGGCAATGTGCCTGCTTCCAGCCCCAAGTGGAGGTTGGAGGACAGGAAACAGACACGGTGTTGGGGGTCTGTGGCCAGAGACTGGAAGTCAAGCCCCCTGGAAGGGGTGGGGACATCCCTGGGTGGCAGGGAGAGAGGGGACCCAGAGAGAAGGGGCTTGTGACCACGCACAGGTCTTTCCCTTCCCAAGGGCCCAGAGCAGAAGCTGCACCGAGTGGGGAGGACGCCCCCAGACCAGTGCTTCCGGGGGGCCACTCAGGGTACGGTGGGTCTGCCAAACAGGTGTGGCTCCAATTTGCACCTCAGGCCACAAGCCACAGGCTGCCACCCACCTGTCGTGTGGCCCAACCGAGGAGATGGGGAAGCCAGGTGGGGACCGGAGTGAAGGGTGGGGTGGGCCCTCCCCTGTGCTCAGACCCCTGCTGGGTCAGCAGGGGGAGGGTCCCTCTCCCCTTCTCCCCTGGAAAGCCAGCCCCGAGAGTCCCGCCCCTGCCACGCCCAGCCAGCTCTCAGAGCTTGGGACTTTTGATGTTTACTTTGTTCTCTCCACAGTTCAAAAGGAGCTCGGCAGCCCTCGCACCAAGCCCAGACTTAATCTGCCCTCCGCGAGCTCCCAGCTGGCCAGTTAAGGCGGTTAAGATGCTGGATTAGGGCCGGCTTTACATAACAACGCAGGAGCTAAAGCTGTCCTCTCCTGGGATGGCTAAAAGACTTTTTTATCTTCACACCTCAGATGGCCTTTTTTCTCCCTTAAACAGCCCTCCAGCCCGCCAAGAGGCAATGAACTTGGCCAACAGGAAGACAAAGAAGAGATTCAGGATTCGGGCGGGTAGCACAGAGGGATGCTGCAGCCCCCGCCCCGGGCCAGGTGGATGCTTCTCCGTGGCCGCGGCTGGGACCATGGGTGACCGTGGAACCACAGACGGTCATGGGTCCAGCATCCCTCCCACCAGTGTCAGAGCCACGCAGGCCGGCCCAGGCGCAAACCAGAGCAGCCTCACCCACTCACCGTTTTCACTTTTTAATTCTGCTTTGAGTCTTTCAATTCGTTCTTCTTGGGAAAGTTCAAACATTCATCCCCGTTAATACTACAGCCCTCTCTTTGTGAGCTCTTTCCGGTTTTAGTATCCTCTTCCCAGGTCCAAGAGGAGCCTCCTATCTTTGTCTGTCGAGCCCTCCAGCTACACAGTAATACGCACGTGGTCTCTACTCACACACGTAGGAAATACAGAGCGTTCTCTCGCGCCCCTTTTAACATAAAACGTACTGGCCATGGCGTACTGAGTCTCTCTGCAATCTGATCTGGTTTCTGTTCTCTGCTTCTGTGTAAACTTTTGTTTGAAGAAAGAGGCCAAAAAGCTGGACCACCACCAACTTAGTCTGACCCCTAGTTGGGAAACTGAGGTAGGAGAATGGCTCCTAACCCCCTCCCTCATGAGTGGTGGCACCGATGTGCCCGGACATCACCAGGGACTAGCAAGGTGCCTGGGCTGCCCTTTGAGCCTGGCGTGCAGCTGGGGCGCCATGGGGTCAGACCGAGTGCCGCCAACCCGACACCCTTTCCCCATCAGGAGCCGGGACCCTCGGGCGCCTCATCTTCATCCCCCGTCCATCAGCCAATGTTTGTAAGTGCTGCCCTCCCCCCTGCCGCAGGGCTTCCTTCTCCCTGCAAGGAGCCCACGGCCTTTGCGTACCCACAGAGTCCAGCTTCATGTCCCCACTCATCATGTGACAGAGGGCAAGGGGGCCTAGAGCTGGGGGGGACCTGGCCGCGATCCACAGTGGGCTGCTACCAGGGCTGGGAGGGGACCCCGGTCTAGGTGCTGCTCGGCCAGCATTTCTTCTACATCACTCCAATGGGACTCACGCACTGAATGTAGACAGTGAACAAAGCAACCCTCCCCTCCAGAGGGAAGTGGATTCCATGGGTAGGCCATTTCGTGTCTGTTTGCAGGGAACGACATCCCATTTGAAATCAATTACATGGTTGTAAACTGAGCCTCGACGGACAGAGAAGTGCCTCCTATGGGGCAGTAAGGAGGGGCTCAGTACATGATGGATAGGCAGACAGACGATGACTGGAGGATGGGTCCATGGATGAAGGGATGAATGACGGGGGATGAACACACAGGCAGAGAAGGGAGTATGGATGGCTGCGTGATAACTCAGAGTGGCCGGGCTGCTGGACGGGGGACAGGAGAGTAGGGCAAACCATGGATGGACGGTTGGGTGGGACACGGCCAGTGGGTGAGTGGGTGGTGGGACAGTGAAGAGTGAGGGATAAGTGATTGAAGGGACAGACAGATGAGTGGACTGACTGGTGGCTGGTTGGATGGGTAGCGAATGGGTGATGGATGGAGTAGGTGGAGGGATGGATGAACAAGAGAATGAACTTGCTACTGAGTCACCATGTGAATGAGGGAGAAATGAATACATAACCGGAACGAGAGCCGCAGCCCATGGAATCAGTGTCTGGAGTCACTCCAATCCCCAGGGCTTTCATCCTGCCCACCTTTACCTGACTCCCCAGATGTCAAGGCACCAACTCTTGGCATCTCTCCATGGAGCCAAAGACAATAGTTGAGGCTTGGGGGAGCCCAGGGGAATGACAAAATCAAGGCTGCAGAGCCTCTGAGTGCAGTTACCAGCTCTGTAGGCTGCACAAAGCCTTCCATCCATGGGACTCCCCCCAGCCCTTGATTCAGGACCTGCTCATATTTGAACAAAGTTTGATAGATACCTGGGTCCCGGCAGGCCACCATCTCCTAGGCAACTGAGTGAATCTCTTAAAACAGCGCTTCTCAAAGTGTAATGTGCACACAAGCCACCTGGGGAGCCTCTTCAAGGACAAATGGCCTGGGGCTGACAGCTCTCAGGTTGCATGTGGCCACAGCCCTCAGGTCTGGCCCAGGCTCCCCTCGAGAAACTCTTGGCACTATCTGCTCCTCTCAAGGCCCTACAGGGCACCAAGGCCTAGATCCCCGCCCCCCCAAGCCGCTGGGCCCCCTGGCTCTCCTGCGAGCTGCCTGCCCTCACCTCCACAGCAAGGCCCCTACTAACCTAAGGCTTCCCCCGTTCAGTGATTCTCTTCTCTGAGTATAAAATGGAAATGTTATCCCACGTAGCAAATGCTTTCCAGTGCCATCTGTGCTCCGTACCCAATGCAGGGAGTCAAGCAGGGAGACGGCTCTCATTCCCACTCTGTAAGTGTGGAAACTAAGGCTCCTCTAGAAAGGCGGCGTGCCTTGCCCGAAGTCAAGTGAGGGCACCAGTGGCCGGCCGGCCCTCTGCTCCAAGATCCTCATCCTTCTACACGGTGCCTCCCCTTGAACAAAGGCAGGAGAGAGAGCTACAGACATGAAAGGGGAGGGGCTGGTGGGGGGCTGTTTGTATGTGTGCTTGTTTGTGCTCCAAGTGAGTGATGTGAACTGAGAAACGGGGAAATACAACAGCTACTTTATGTATGGTCACCCCCCACCAAACAGGAAAGCTGAGCTAAAACAACCTGTCCAAGGTTCCCCGGCCAATACAGAGCAGGGCCAGGATGTGAGCCTCAGGAGCCTGGCTCCACTCTGGGCTTGGACCCATGAAGGGCTACACTCACTCCCTTCTTTCTTCTCACCCCACCACCCCCACCGGCAGTCAGGGTCTTGTCCTCTGCCTGGTCTGCAGATTTTCTGGAGCGTACCTAGGGCACGTGGTGGGCCAGATGGCCCCTTCCCCATCTCACTGCACCCTAGGAAGAGACCAATGGATTCCAGTACCTTCTAGCCGAAAGTCTTCCTCTTCCTCCTCACTGAGCGTTTCTCTGAAAACTTCACCCACGAGCTCCTAGAGGAAGACAAAGCAGGGACGTTAAGTAAGTATCCGACAGAGTCAAGGAGGAAACCAATATTGGGACGGTAAAGGTGGCATCATGAACGTGTGCCTGGCTGGTCACAGGGAAGCAGGGATCCTGCTCTGATTCTTCTGATGGGAAATTAGGTCAACTGAGGTGGATCCTCTCGCTTGAAAAGTGAATTGTCCCCATGCTTTTTAGGAAGTACCTTTTTCTTAGCCTACAGCTCACTATAAAATACTGCACGCTTCTCCCTCAGAAAGGAAGTTCCACCCTCTGCCCTGGAAAAAGACAGAGACAAGATGGGAAAACGTCCCTCATCTATCCCTCGGAGTCAACTTTGATGGACTCAGGACCAACAAGCCTCCTCTGTGGGCCCCAGGAAGGGATCTCAGTGTGACTCCTTCCTCCAGCAGAGGATTCCAGGTGGGCTGTCTCCATGGGTTTGCAAAGAGGGCCTGGTGTGCACAAGAGTGGGTCTCTACAGCCCCTAACATAACCCCCCAACTCTTCAGCATCACATTCAGCAGCCTGCATGCTCTGCCTCCTGGCTGACCTTCAGACATGCCTGCCGCCTCTCCCCAGTGCACACACATTCCAGAAACTAGCCTGACCCTTGCACTGCCTTGCCCGGTGCCCCACGTGTGAGTTCAGGATGCCCGGTGGCAGAGTTGCTCCCGACCAGCCTGGTCACGCTGCCGCTCGGGTGTTGTCAGGTTGGCAAGGGGAGTTTGGTTAGCCCACAGGCTGGGAAGTTTCTGGAAGGTCGACAAAGGTACTACTTATCTCAACCTAACCCAGCAGGGTGACCCTAGATATGGAAGAAGCAAGACCAGCACTTGTCAGACCGCCTTCCGCATTACTGGTGTTCTGCCAATAAGAGTTCTGTGATCCAAAAAGATTGTTTTCAAGTCAGAGAAGATCCCTTACTGAAGAATTTACTATGGTAACGGACACCGTGAATATCCAAGTGGTAACTCATGCTGCATTCCTCAAACCTACTGAGACCGTGGAGTCTCGTGTCTCAAAAGCATCCCATGGGATCTGAGTTCCAAGGAACCCACTTTGGGAAATGCTCCTCTTCTGGGGAAGAGACAAAGTTGGGAGGGTTACACCGCCTTATCTCTTTTGATGCCACAACAATGCTCTGGCAGCGCTTCTCGAACCACAAAATGACAAGCAATAAAAAAGCCCAAACTCAGCAGCTGTCACCAACTTCTCTTTTTGGGGGAAAAAAAAAGTGCAAAGAGAAAGAAAAAGAGAATGCACCCTCTCCTTGAAAAATTAGAAGGGGGAAAAGATCCCCCACTTCAGATACTTAACAGAAACACAGTGCTTGTCTTGATTAACAAAACCAAAATCACGCTTGGTAGAGCTGATCTTATCAGCTGGACACAGCTGGAGATAAGTCTCTAGTTTTGTTTTGTTTTGTTCTGTTTGTTTTGTTTTGAAAGGATCAACAGCTAACATTTTATGGATTAGGCCTGGTGTTCTCCATTCTCCCTCTTCTTCCAAACCGTCCTGGGGCATCACACTCTTTCCCCTGCAGGTTGTGAAAATGTGGTCATTCAGACTCCTGGTGTCCCACTGACTTCAAAACCAGGCTCCTTGATTCCTGGAGTCGGGGTGGCTTCTCCCTCCACCTCCTCCGCCAATTATCATAATCACCGAACACTTCCTGGGCTTGTAAACTGGCTGTTTGTGTTAACAGCGCCGGAGTTGACAGGGAAGCTGGGAGCCGGTGACAGGGACAGCACGCGCTCAGGCGGCATCATTAGGTGGCTGGGACACTCCGGCAGCCAATTAGAGCCCATCTTTCATGCCAGAGGAAGACAGATGCTGCCTCCCCCAGACAGGCTGGCAGGCAGCACTCCCAGGAGCTGGCGACCGGCTTCAAGGGGCTCGTGCTGAGGTCTTCTGGAAAGCGGGGGCTCAGCGCCGACCTCGGCCCGCCACCCTGGCCGCTCCCAGCGAGGCGACCAGGACCTGCCAGGCACACCCCTGCGAGAGCTCACGTCTTCTTGCCGGCACACTTGGAGTGTAGAGACTGCCAAGGTCTCCCACAACAAAGCAGCCGTCTGGAACCCCAAGTAATGATGCCTCGCGGTGTGCATCACGCACTCTGAGAACTGTCTGCGGGGAGCACCAAGCTCCCTGACACAGTAAAGGCATGCCTCTGCATATGAAAGCAGAGTTCTGGCAAGTTCCGGGGTCCGCCTCTTCGTGCTAAACGCTATACTGCTCTGTAGAACCGTAAAAGCTCCCCAGCACCAGGGTCCACGGACTCACTGTGAGGCACAGGTGCTTGATGCCGGCAAAAATCCATTTCATCTGGGGCGCCCGGGTGGTGCAGTCGGATGAGTGTCCAACTCTCGGTTTCGGCTCAGGTCGTGATCTCATGGGTCGTGAGATCGAGCCCCGGCATAGGGCTCTGTGCTCAGCGGGGAGTCTGCTTGAGATTCTCCCTCTCCCTCTGCCCCTGCCCCCACTTGCTCGCTCTTTCTCTCTCAAATAAATAAATCTTAAAAAAAAAAAAAATTTCGTTTCATCTGCTAAGCCAGACGCCCAGGGAGTGCACTGTCCGTGGTCCTCAAGCTTTGAATCACTAAGCCAGCAGCAATGCGGTGTTGAGGCAGACACAGGATCACATCCTGGCTCCATGGCCTCCCCTCGCCCTTGGACGTGGGGCCAGCCACTGCTTTCTTGGAAGCTCAGTCTATCTCTCTGTAAAATGGGCGCAATGACAGGACAGCTGACCTTACTGGGCATCTCCTCAGGGCCAGGCACCACGCGAGACACCTTGTAAGGATATTTATTATCTCCCTCAGTCTTCACCATTGCCCTGCACTTTCCATCTCTCCAGGAATAAACGCTCATAAAAATGATCTGCAATTCGTAAAGTGAGAGTTATAATTGTTACCCTTTTTTTTTCCTACGAAGGAAGTGCCGTCAGTCCTCGAGGGACATAGGAGACAGGAGATAATGGGACCGAGGGAATCCTCACAAGAACCTCCAGGGAATGGGGTTCCCAAAAGCCCTGCATTTAAATGAGGAGGAGGCTCCACGAGGCCAGGTGACAGGTTCTGGATCCTCAGCAAAGCCAAGATTTGAGCCAGTTCTCCCAGAAGCCTGGCCCGAGCTAGTACAGTGGAGTCAGGGTTCCTGTGGGCATGGGACCGAGGCAGCCAAGAGCCCTGGTAAGTCACTTGCCAGGGACCAGGGATCACATTTAAAGACGTGCAAAGAGAACAGCCCTGCCACTAGCTCCGAGGGTGGTGGCCAAGGCCTCCTGTTTGTGCTACAGGACTCAAAGGGCCCACAGCTCCTCCCCACTAAGGTTGGGGACTCAGCAGAGCCCTGGCCGGGAGACCCGCAGACAAGGTGTGGGGCCAGGCCCTCGGGACCATCCTGCAGGAAGGTACTCAGACCCCTCAACAGCCATGGGCCCCACGCAGGGCCCCACTGTGGAAGGTGCAGGGCATGGAACTGGAATTGGTCAGACCTCGGTTCAAATCCCAGCTCTGCTTCATACGAGCTGCACCATGTGGGCGAAGGAACGTTCTCAGCCTCCCATTTGTACACAGGGACGATAGTGCTCGTGACGTCTCCGGGTGGGTGTGAGGATTAAGTCAGTCATTGCATGGAAAGTGCTTAACATGACACCTGATACCACGACTGGGGCTCCATAGACCAATAGTTACTGTTTATCACTTCTTCTACTCCGATGGTCAAATAGCTACCAGAACATTGCTCAGAGAATCTCAAAGACTCACCAGCCCCAAGGCGCCCTCAAAGACACTGAGAAACACTCTCCTACCTGGCACACTGTTTTTAATGCTTCGCATTTAATCCTCATGGCAATCCTTTGAGGTCATACCACTATTATCCCCACTTCACAGATGAGCAAACTGAGGCACAGAGAGGTTAGCGACTTGCCTAAGGTCACACAGCTAGTAAGTGTCAGAGCCGGGCTGGAAGGCAGGCGCCTGGCTCCAGAGCCCACACTCTTCCCCACTGCCGTGTAGGAAGCCCAAGTATGGGGCTTGGTATGAGTGACTTCCCTTCACTGCTCCTTTATTCAGCCATCACTCCAGCCCCTGGTCCCCAGCCCCCTCTCCTCCGGCCTCCAGGACAGTCGGCATCAGACTAGGCTCTAAGCTGTTATCAAAGGCCTTCCTGGATCCCCGGACCTCCTGCTGCACCCAGCCTGATGCCAGGCTACCCCCTGCCTAGTGGCCAGGCTCGGTAGCCTCTCAGGCCACAGGGCCCAGGCCGGCCTCCCTCCCTCCCTCCCTCCCTCCCTCCCACGCCCCAGCACTGCTGCTACTCGGCCCCACGCTGGGCCCCAGGAAGAAAGACCATCTCCTTCAGGCACTGGGTGTGCAGTCAGCACCAACCCAGAGCCCAGAATTGCAGGCATAAGGCCTTATAAGGCCTCCGGGGACGGGAAACCACATCAAAGCAGGGCTTGGGAGCGGGCTGGAGTTCGGTTAGGGTTTTTCCTCTTTGTCTTTGAGACTCCTACTCCTGAGCTTCATATCTTCCCCCCACCGCCTGCCCAGCAGCTCTTTGTCAATGTTTCTGTTCTCTAAGAGCTAACAGATGTTGGTGCCACGGGCTTTCAAAGCAAACTCCTGGTGCCCAGAGCACACGGCGCAACTTCTAGATCCCAAGAATGCACAGGACTGGGACATGCCGGGGAAGAGAGGGGTGGGAGGCACGACCCAGCCACCCTGTAACCCTTAGATCCAAGCAGTCTGCCCTGGAGCTGCCCCAGGAAATTCCTGGCGAGCTCCATCTTCCCAGCACGCTGTGCAGAGGCAGGCCGGCCGGCCATGCCTGGGGGTCCGGCACCACTGTGGGCAGGCCTCGCCGAGAGCAGGCTCTGGCCGTCCAGGGCAGGGATGCTCCATTCCCAGAACCGGGTTGGACCCGGGAGTCAGGGCGCCCGCCCGCCCGCCCGCCCACCTGCCCGGCCTCAGCAGCTGAGTGA